TCGACATATGCGTGTACATTTTCCTTATTGTCTACAAAAATGACATGTTTTGATCACATTGTTGGTCTATCTTTTACGTATCTAGATGTAGAACACTTCACTGACAGCGTGTAGGGACGTGTGAGTATTCACTGTTCTCAAAATACGTGTGTACATACGTACGTTTGTGTGTTCGTACGGGGGTTGAAGTGATATCTAATTTTTAGCGCATGGGAGTGACACGGGACCGGCTTCCAGTGAGCCATGCCCGAGTGATATGTTCAACTTATGGTCCTTTTCGTGCTGCTATTCGCTGCGCTGTACTCTTTCATGATCAGCCTGAGATAATGTAGATACAGTTACCTTGTTCGGAAAACTAGGATGTTTGGAAAGCGCACTGTAGGACCAAGTGAGCTTGCCGGGTGAAGCAACCGTCAGATATATCACAGTTTGGGATATCATCGTGGATAGTTGAATAGTAGTGAATAGGAAATTACTGCGCACGTCATGTCACGCTTTTCCAAGAGTGAGAGGAACTGATAGATGCGCAGATGCGAATTCGCAAACGCGTCCATTGCCAGACAAGATGTCATCATTGAAGCTGAACGAATGAATCGCGTCTAATGGAAACCGTCTCTGTGCGAGGTTTGTCCGCTGGATTTGAGTGCACTGGCGCATTAATTCATTACCCGATTGGAAGTTGGTCTGTCAAGTTCGGAACTCACATCAGCCGGTTCGGAAGCTGTACTTCAGATTTAAAAGCAGCCATTCCTACAGTAAGCCCAATTTAATTTGCGTGCCAGAAAGGCCCTTAATAGCTATCCAGTACGACTTGGATACTGCCTTGATTGTTCGGGTGATCCCTCGTTTGACCCAATAGCAGGCGTAAACAAATGGGGGTGTAGTTTGCTTTGATACAGTGGCGTAGCGACTACTTTTGCTGTCCGTGGCGGACATACAATTGATGCCGCTCTCGTAGTTGTAAAGTCTACAATTGAAATTGACATTCAATAGTTCGTTTCACATAACAACAACCACAGATTTAATTTTAGAATGCTGTCGTGAATGCAGCTATTTGAATTGTTAAATTACTCGTGTTCAGGCACACTTTTCGTGCACTACTTGAAGGCGATGGTATCCGAGCTGAATAAGTGCTCATCGAACGCAAATGAACATCACTGGTCGAAAATCCGGCAGACTGTGTTAGCATCGGGTATGCCCTAATGTGGCAAACCAAATCGCCAACCTGGCCATTGGGTCATTACGCAGTCTCAGGAACTTAGAGATGCTTACCAAAGTGTTCCGGCTGATAGCGAAAAGATTTCAGGGCGAAACTGCTTGGTAACCTGAAAAGAGACCGGGAAGCCTGATGGTCGATTGGTCTGCACGCCTGGCTTGCAATCATAAGGTCACCGGTTCGAATCTATTTTCCTGACCTGCTTTGTCATCCTGGATGTCTTCTTCGGACAGAAAACGAGTTTGACACTCAAGTGATAAGTAGCGCAGTTTTAGATTTTGGTGATAAAAGTTACCCCAAATTGAAGGGGAAGGAAAATAAAAAGGCTTGATAATCTCAATACACCGGGCACATAGCGGAAAGCGAATGATAGTAAAAAGATTCTGTGACCGTTTCGGATGAATGAAACATATAAATGTGCGCAGAATGGGTCAGTTCTCCTTCAAAAGTGTCACATCCTACTGTGATTAGACCGCAGTAGATCACCAGCAGCGAAGCTACGAGCTTTTCTCAGTCAAACGCAGAACCACCTGTGAAAGAGACAGAACAATTTCGAATGACATATGAGGCCGAAGAGTGGATTGTTATGCTGATATGCATGGTATTAGCGTGTGTGCATAGTAAATGGGGAAAATATTGGAAACAGAGGCCAAAACGGATACAGTATGACGGGTAAGTAACTCATTCGCATCACTCCATCAGCCAGTTTTCCATATCAAGTTCAGCAGAGTGACACAAATGCGAACAACGCGAACATAATTAGCCTCCGAACATGGACACCATATGGTGCACAGCACAATGATCTCAAGAGTAAATCAACTCTGAGGTGATGCAATCATAAAGCGGATTTCCAGATAGGTGTGCATGTGCGTAATAGCGACGCCGATGTGCTGCATTGATAAGGCGTAGGCTGAGTAGTAGACCACCTGCCAGCCGAACAGTGAGCAAATATGCGAATTGCGATCGCATTATAATAATACCAGTGCCTTGCGCTGTCAATACACATGCTACGCAGGCCATGCTTACCCTCTCAACCCCCTACCCCCCGAAACAGCTATAAGCGGCCTGTATTCAGGAAGATACATGAATAAGCAGCCGCGCGATCGATTTTATCGCAAAGCACAAGCAGATGGGTTGGGAATATGGCGCTTATCGATCGAGTGTTTGATTTGATTATTTCGTAGAATACGCTACGAGATGTAAGGCGGTCGTCATCGACTGGAAGCACTTTAAAAATGACCAACATTAAACGTGTACCGAACGTTAGGAAATTGATGAGAGGGTCAAAGTGATCATCGATACAAGTAAGTCGAGACATTTTTGTATGAGAAGCAGGCTTGGCATCGCACAGCATGTCTTCGAGCTGGGTACGTATTGATGCCTACTATATACAGGAATTAGGCGATTTTGATCCCCTGGGTCGGAGTGTTCAGTGAAAGTACACCCGTGATCCGCCGCACTGACGCCTTACTGCCACGCGACCGGCACCAGGCCAGCGCGGGTCAGGGGAACCACAAGGTAACCAGCACCTAATTGACCTCGAATTCTGACAGATTCAATGGGTCGCGCAATATGACAGACAAATCGCTCTTGTTTTCTACGCGTCTGAGTCCGGCATCAGTGGTGACTGCAGTGGCATCGATAACAGAAAAGAATTTTGCCAATGGATTGCGCCTGTCTGGGTCTGGGCAAACGTGACCAGATCGTCCTGGTTGACAAGGTTGCGAAAGTCAGCTGATTCGAAGCTTGTCAAAGTCGTATCACGTGCAGCGCAAATGCATACTGTGTTAGCGCCCTGGTTTATACTGATTCTTGGCATAAGCAATCCTTAAAGACCTATACATCAACGCTATCAATCCTAGAGCAGGAAAGGGAACTTCATGTCAGTGACTGCCAGAAAATGGCTATTTTATGACGCCGAAAACCAGTAACGATTTGCAGCAGTTATAGGTTTGGAAATGGAGAGCACATGCTAAAGAAGAAATAATCAAGATACAGGGAAACAGTCAAGTAACAAGACAGTAGACCAGTCTGAAGGTTCGACGTTTGCCAATCGACAAGTTAACAAAAACGCTGTCACTAAAAAGCCACACAAACATAACTATCAGCGCGGTAATTGCATTAATCAGTTAACAGAAATAAGTGGTGTAGCAACCAGGTTAACGGAGCGGATACTTGAAGTGGTAAAAACAAACATGCAATCGAGGCAATCTTGTAAAGGGAATCTGCATATGGAAGCCCAAAACATGGACCAATGAGTAAAGCGCTCTACAGTCTAGTGTTCAGAGAAGCATGGGGAGCAGGTGCGTTTGATATCCACAGAGCTATAATGCTATAGAGTTAGTCTGGTGACAGAAAGGCGATGACCGCGTTCATGTACCTACCGTGGCTCACTTATGGTGAACGCCCGTCATTTACAGTTTTCCACATCGTCCAATGTTTCGCGAAATTCGCAAAATGCTACTGCGCGTGCAGAAACATGAATTTGCTCTCATCTAAGTGGTGAGGACGTATGGAATTATAGGCAGACGAGTGATTTAGTGCAGGGCTCAGCTGCGTACAGGCGTAAGATGGCGAAGGACGCACCACACACAGGCCATAGGAGCCAGTTTTGGTCATGGAGCGAGATGAGTACAGACAGCCACAACACGTTTCCAGCGATCGTTAGTTGTCAGCTAACTTCGCGCTGAAGGTCACGGCTAACCGTAGGCGTTGGGGCGATCGATGGCTGCGCAGCGAAGTGGCGTAGGCAAAATAAGGCGCGCAACCAAAACTGCGGCGTGAATGTGCGCACGTGCTGGCATCGCAGCGAACCGGGTGTTCTGCATTAGCTGAAGACAGGGTTAGGCATAGCAAGTCGTGTCAATGTCATTGAATCACTGCCACAGATAATGGAGCACGAACAGACAATGCAGTCGGGATCACGTAACGTGCCTGTTACTCAGCCCGCACTGATTATTCGGCTGTACAGTGAATGCGGTTTAAACGCCCCGTCAACTGCACGAATATACAATGCAATGAAGACAGGAATGCATTCCGTCACCGAGTGGTACGTGCTTAAACTACTGAAGAAGTTCGAGCAAACAAGGAGTGTGTGCGAAATGAAGAGAACCGGTCCGCCTCGCATCACCACGGACGACTGTTCAGCTTGCGCTGTAGACAGTGTAGTGTCAGGAAGTCCCGATCTCAGCATTGCGACGCGACGGGATATGCGGTACACTGGAGGCTAGAAAAACGAAACTTTCAAAGATTCCGTGCACTTGAAGTGCAGATTTTCAACCCCTGCGATCCAGGGAAACGTCATGAATTTTGCCGCTGATTTCTGGAGCACGGGGATATACGTTCTGGCATGTCATGGCACTGTTTTATCTGCATGGAACAATGAAACATTACGCTTGGGCTACCAGCAACCCAGGAAAATATACCGCATCACGTATGCACCACCGTGTGAAACGGATGGTTTTGGTTAGATTAACAAGCCAGAATATCTTGGATCCATATTTCTTTTCCGGAAATGTCACCGGTAGGTTGTTGTTTTGAAGCACTAAAGCCTTACCTTTTCCTAACATCGTCGTACT